GATGTGGAAAAAAGGGAACTCTCATAGACTGCTGGTGGGAATGCAAACAGGTGCAGACACTATGGAAAATAGTATGGAGAGTCCTCAAGAAATTAAGACTAGAACTACCATATGATCCAGCTATTCCACTGCTGGGTATTTATCCAAACATAATGAAAACACAAATGCGTAAAGATATATGCACCCCTATGTTCACTGCGGCACTATTCACAATAGTCAAGACTTGCAAAGCACCTAAGTGCCTACCAAGAGATGAATGGATAAAGATGTGGTATATACACACAACGGAATATGACTCAGGCATAAAAAAAGATGAACTCTTGCCATTTGCAACAATATGGATGGACCTTGAGGGTACTATGCTAAACAAAATAAGTTAGGGGGAGAAAGTCAAATACTGCATGATCTCACTCATAAATAGAATAAAGACAAAACAACAACAAATACATAGATACGGAGATTAGACTGGTGGTAACCAGAAGGAAAGAGGGGGAGGGATGAGAGGGAAAGGGGTGACTAGGCACGTGTGTATGAGGATGGATGGTAACTAGGCTTTGGGTGGTGAACTGATGTAATCTACACAGAAATCAAAATAAAATGATGTACACCTGAAATCTATATAATGTTATAAACCAATGTTACCTCAATTAAAAAAAGAAAAGGTATCTATGTCAGATAGAGGCTGCGCTTTTAAGCAGGGTGGCCAAAGAAGGTCTTATTGAGAAAGTGACACTTGAATAAACATCTGAAGAGCTGAGCAAAAAAGCCATGCAGATTTTAGGGCATGGGCATTCTAGGCAAAGAAACAGAAAATATAAAAGCCCCAAATAGGGATCATGCCTGGAATGTTCCAGGCACAGCAGGGAAGCCAGTACGGCTGGAGCAGAGGAGAAAGGAGAAGAGTGTGAGAGGAGGTTGGAGCCATGTGGGGCCAGGTCACATGAAGCCTGGGTCGTGGAGAGGACTTTGGCCTTCGCTCTGCATCAAGGCAGGGAGCCAGTGGAGGGAGTCAACAGAAAACTGACACGACTTGTCTTATGAGTGGTTTGTTTTCTGTTTTGTTTTGTTTAAACTTGTGTATTTAATAAATTCATGAAAATGTGTTTATTCAACCTGCCAAGAGCATGGCTAATAATATCTACCTATTTGCGATTATGAATAATGGTGATTATGGGAGAAACATAATCAGGACTGCACAGCATAGAGATGCGCTGCCAAGAACTAACCATTTAGATTGCCCAAGTCTTTCTTTCAGTTTGTGACAGCAACATACAAGCCTGCTGTAAAGAACAGCACTGCTGTTATACCAACTTGAGCCTATGCTTTAGTGGGAGCCATCTGGCTCTACGCTGAGAACAGACTGAAGTGACGCAAGGGCAGACAAGGAGACACGAATTAGGAGGCCACTCCAACAATCCAGGCAAGATATGCTGCTGCCTTGGCCCTGGGTGGTAGCAGTAGAGGTGGCGAGATGAGAAGAGGTGGGGAGAATCTGGTCCGGTTCTATTTTGCTCATGGACGTGGAGCAGGGGTCAGCAAGCTACAGTCCACGAGTCACATCTGACCCACTACCTGTTTCTGTAAGTAAAGTTTTATGGGAACACAGCCATGCTCATTTGCTTACATACCATCTATACTTGCTTTTGTGCCACAGCAGCAGAGAAGAATAGCTGTGGCAGAGACTGTACAGCCTTCAAAGCCTAAAATATTTACTATCTGGCCCTTTACACTGTGTTATTGACCTCCAATCTATAATATGAGGTAAAGAGAAGAGATAACGTTTTAGGTTTAAGTAACTAAAAAACATGAGTTGTCATTTATTGAGACAGGGTCCGAGGAGAAGATGAGATGTGAGGAAATATCAGGAGCCTGATTTTGGACATGTTAACTGAGAGATGCTTATTAGACGATGTATGAGTCTGAGGCTCAAGGAACAGGTCTGAGCTGGAGATATAAACTTAGAGTCATCAGATTCGAGTAGTAATTAAAGCCAAGAAACCAGATAAAATCAATAGGAGAATGAACCTAGATGGGGAGGATGAGAGTTCAAATATTGAGCCCTGGCACCCTAACATTCAGAAGTCAGGGAAATGAAAAAGACCCATACAGAGAACTAAGAAGGAACAGATAGAGAGAGGATGAAAACCAGGAAAGTGTGTTCTGGAAGGCCAAAGAAGAAAGTGTTTTAAGGAGAAGAGGGTGAAAGCCACAGCAAATGAAGCTGACAGGTCAGGTCAGACAGTGACTCAGCACAGAGCACAAGCGGCGTCACCTGACTGGAGCTGACTCAGCGGAGGGAGCAAGGGCAGGAGGAGGAGACAGCGCAGGCAACTCATTCCAGAAGGTTTGTTGTGAAGAAGTGCAGAGATTAGGATGGAAGCTAGCGGGGGAAAATGAGATCAAGAGAGTTTCTTTTCATTTATTCCCATGATGCGAGAAGGAACAGCATGTATAACGGCTGTTAAAAAAAATAAGTTTTCCACTTGAGATGGAAAACCTGATGAAGCAGGAAAGAGACGGCAAGTGCTGGAGCAAAGGCTCTGAGTAGGTGAGAGGAGATGGGAACTAGAGCATAGACTTCAATAGGGCAGGGACAGCTCACGCATAACAAGAACTGGCCACACATACAGGCAGGCAGGTGGATGCAACGATGGGAGCTTAGGGAGGCTCCCTTCTGCCTGCATCTGTTTTCTCCATGAAATAGGAAGGCAGGCCACGATCTGAGAGTGCGTATGGAGAATGAGTTGTTGCTGATTGGAGGAAAAGGTATGAAATAGATTAGCAGAGTGGGAGAATGAACCGGGGAATGTGGTATAAATTACCTGCTAGTATGGAGAGTCCACATGTGTTTGTGATCATGAATCTGAAATGAGACAGATAAGCATCATTCTGGGTTTTTCTCTAGCCTTGTTCCACTGCATGAGACAAAGTAGCCAGGGTATAGGATTTAAGATCAGGATCATGGCATAACCAAGCAAATAAGACAAAGTGAGAGACAGAGGGAGGGAAGAGAGTGACAGAAATGACTGACTACAGAATTAAAGCAGGGTGAGGAGGGAAGTGAAGACGTGAAGGAAGGAGTGAAGAAAGTGAAAAAGTGATGGAATCAATGGATTGTAGCCCCCAGTGAACCTGAAAGAATACTGGATTTGGGCACAGAGTGGGTGAGCTAGAAAGCTAAGGTGGTAGTTAGAAAGTGATTGAGATTGAAAGGTCTAGAGTATGACCATGGCAGTTGAGTGGCTGAAGTCAGGAGAAAGACAAGGTCATTGGAGGAAAGGAGCTCAAGAAAGGAGAGGTCAGAGACCTGGAAGGGTCATCTCTGTGGCTACTGAGGTCATGCTGAATCAAGACAGAAATGGTGTTGGAGAGAGACAGTGGACAGAACGAGGTAGGCTGAGTGGGTTCAGAGTACAGCTGCTACAAGGAAGGGACGCGGGGAGAAAATCCATGTGTTCTTAGGGAGGAGGAAAGATGGTCTCGAAGAGGAAATAAGAGAAACAGAGGAAGAGCACAAACTCAGTAAGAGCACCAAGGGGAAGGGACGGTCACAGAGCAGGATTTTGCTGTTGACTGACCAAGAGAATTTCAGAATTGGGGGATAGGTGGAGATAGAGTCAGAAAGTTATAGTAACAAGTCACGTAGAGGATAAGAGATGAGGACCTGGGACTGGTGGCTGACATAAGCAGGGATAAGGGGCATACACAGATTATTCCTGGTGGTCCCAAAGAGACACCGTGCTGTAACCAGGAGTGCTGAGGGGCTTTCCAGGAGCAGGCAGAGTGCTGGGTCTCCTGCCTAACCTGTGCTGATACAGTGAGGTTTTAAGCTCCTCCCCACCCCACCAGCTATCTCCTGGACAATTTCCAGCATTCCAGTTGGGGCCTGATCATGGTGAGACAAGAAGCACTGTCAGTAGCTCTGTTTCTAAGGAAAAGGTGAAAAAAAGATTAGAATCCTGAACTCTTCTCCTACAAGACGACCGTCATAGCTTGTCAAAGAAGGTGTACAGAGAAGATATTTCAGGCAAAGGCATTGTTTATTACCAAACTGACATTTTGGCCTGAACCTCTCTCACTTTTATAATTAAGAGAATTCATTTATATTTACATGGGGAGGAGTCTACTCCTACCTAACAAGAGTTACAATAATAGAAACAGCAAATACTTTTAACTGACAAGTTATCCTAGATCAAGAAGACGGATTATCTGGGAGACGACTACAAGAGACTGCATTAAATGACTACAGAACGACCAGTCAGTCATATATTAAATTGTTAGATGACATGATGATCCACACAGGTCTCAATGCCCGCTTTTTCATAATTAGAATCTTAAGTAATTATAATAATTATTATGTTTGATAGAAAAGTTCAATTACAGGAAGGACAGATAACTTCAAACATATAGTATGAGTCAATATCATCATTTCCCAAAAAAAGATAGTTGTGGATATCAACCATGAGCTCATTAATTGCAAAGAAATAAACTTTTACAATAGTTAAATAATTGTCAATGAGACAGTTATAAAACATCACATCCGGTGAACTTTTATACTCCGAAAATTTAAACAAAGAGTTCGACGCCAATGCAGAATAAAGACTAGGAAATCCCTAATTAGAGGCTTGTTATTTTGACCATTGTTTCAATCTTGCATTTTCAGATTATTTTACCTTAAAAGAAAAGCATCAACCAAACTCATAAAATCCTCAGAACCAAATTTAGTCTTAATCCCCTTGCCATCAGAGATAAGACCTGACTCAAAAAAAGGACAAAAGCTATATAAAGGAAAACAATTAGTTTTACCAGATTACTATCAAAATGAATAGATATTAACAAAACACACTGTATGACCTTAATCTTTAAACTACTGCTTGCAAGATTTTAAAAAGTTGCTTTCTAATTCATTTTATCCTGTTGTGGAAACATCACAACTGTAAGTTTAACAGAAAGCTGGAGTGGAATTATAAACGTGTCCCAGGTATGAACGTAAGGCTTACCTGATGCACCTATTGGGGAGGTAGCTGGGGTCATGTTGTGGACATTGAGACCAAGACTCTGGGAGGGGCCTGGGGCTGATGCTGCTATAGGAGGCCCTGGAGGGTTCTCCCTCTGGGGAGAGGTGAGTGGGGTGGTCGGCTGGGAGGTCTGTCCACCAGCAAGTCGTGCAAGGCGCCTCCGTCGGATCTACAACATGAGAGGAAAAGGACATTCTATAACTAAACAGCAGAAATACAATTCTGCCTAAGGATAACGACAACGTTATCAATGACCATCAATAACCACACTAGAGCTTAACAATTAAAGATGCCTTGAGAAAAAGTACTCATTCGAGACAAGTAATAACTCGGTGTACCAGTATTTTTACAAGCTACCACCTCACTTTTTAAAAACTGCATCTTAACTGCCTTCTCATCTGTTTAAATCACACCTCCTTGACTGATACTCTGAATTTACAATAAGCATACCACACTTTTAAACACAGGAAAGCCTGTTGTTATTTTAATAAAACTATATAACTTGGCCATTTTAAATAGGAGAAATTTAAAATAAATACCCAATTTAATTCAGTAAAACAATGAAAGTAAGAGTTACACTAAGACACAAATTTTACTATCACTTTCAAGAGCAAAAAGATTAGGTTGTTCTTATTTAATTTCGATAAAAATATAATCTACAACTTTTTCTTTATAATAATACCCCAAGTGATTACAAATTATCTACCACAAAATCCCAGTGGATCACAAAAATGTTTCCCCCACATATCTTTTTTTTGAGGAAGATTAGCCCTGAGCTAACATCTGCAGCCAATCCTCTTCTTTTTGCTGAAGAAGACTGGCCCTGAGCCAACATCCGTTCCCATCTTCCTCTATTTTATATGTGGGACACCTGCCACAGCATGGCTTGCCAAGCTGTGCATAGGTCCACAGCCGGGATCTGAACTGGTGAACCCAGGCCGCCGAAGCGGAACGTGTGAACTTAACTGCTGTGCCACTGGGCAGGGCCCTCTCCCACGTTTTGACAGCCATTAATTCATAACCAGTCAATAAACTCTCACTGACCACCTGCTGTCCCAGGCAGTGAGGATACAGAACAATTGTGATAAGGCTTCTGGCTCTAAGTCAGCATCAAAGAAGCAAACCAACTTGGCTGCTCGTATTCTTTCCATTACAAATAAGAAAGACGAAGAAGTTAAGTTACAACAAATGCTAACGGGGACAGACCGCATCTGAATGAAGAATCTCATTCTAAAATTGCAGAAAATCTCCTCCTTCCACTGTCCAGACAACAAGAACATCTTGATTCTTGACCCCAAAGTTCAGAAGCCCCGCTTTGTGGCCCTGCTGTAAATACATCTATCAATGAACTTAGACAAAATCCTGAAGTTGTTTTGCTGCTCATCTATCTACCTAACTCGACTAAATCTCTTAATGGAAAGGATTAGGTCTTATTTATCTAAGAAGCACTGATGTAGCACTTTAACTATCTTCCAGCAATGTTCCAAATACTTTACAAATATATACTTACTTAATCCTCATAATCCCCATTGAGGTAGGTACTTAGATTATCTCCATTTTATATATGAGCAAACTGAGGCACAGAGAGGTTAGATATCCTGCTTACTGAGTAAGTGGCAGAGCAGGAATCTGAACTCATGCAGTGTGGCTCTAACATCTGTGCTCCTCCCACTAAATCAACAGTCTGGGCATCTCTGGGGGTCTCCAAGACCCTTTCAGATGGTCTGTGAGGCCAAAACTATTTTTATAATAACACTAAGACATTTGCCTTTTTCACTCCTATTCTCTCACAAATGTCCAGTGGAGCTTTCCAGAGGCTACATGATGTGCAATGCTGCAACAGATTAAAGAGAGAGGTTAATACAAGAATCCAGCTGTCTTCTATTAAGTCAGACACTAAAAAGATTTGCAAAAGTGAAAACAATGTCACTCTTCTCACTCAATTTGTTTTGGAAAATGTACTTATTTTATTAAAAACATGTTATTTATATTAACATACAATGCCTTTTATTATTTTTTAAAGAATTAATCAACATTTTTTTAAGTTTCTCAGTTTTCATTTCTAAGAAGTTAACTATCAATAAATATAACCCACCTAAACAAAAGTTCTTTGGAATCCTCAATATTTTATAAGAGTGTAAGGGAGTCTTGAGATCAAAACCTTTGAGAACCAAGGCACTCCACCGGGCGGCCTCTCTCTTACTCATCTGTGGCTCCCTAAAATCTAGCACAGCACCTGGTCTGTAACAGGCGCTCCGTGCTCACGACCTGAACTGAACAGAGGGGAAAGGGAAAGTCATCACACATCATCCAAGGAGAATTGGTATTATGATGAAAAACTCACTGAAAGAAATTAATGAACTATTTCTTGCATAAACTCTTAACCGGGGTAGAGGCTGGAGGAAGTGGACCAAAAATTCCTACCCCCAATCTGTTCCCAACCCAATTACTCAAGGCAGAGACCCAGAATCCGTGTTTACTGCCTCCTCACTTCCTTTCATCTCCTCAAACACACACAACTTATCAGCAAGTCCTATTCCTTCTACCTAAGTCCACCCTCGCCGCTCAGCGCCTCTGCCACCACCCTATTCAGGCCACCATCCTCTCTCACCAGGACCTCTGCAAGAGCTTCCTAACAGACCTACCTGTGTCCACTCTGGCCTGGTAGAGGCAGAGGCCCCATATTGCTTTCTTTAAACACTTCCAAAGTTCTAGATTTCTGAAATGCAAGTCAAAACCACAATGAGATAATATCTCACACCCATCAGGATGGCTACTATCAGGAAAACAGAAAATAGCAAGTGTTGGCAAGGGTGTGGAGAAACGGTACCCTCGTGCACTGTTGGGGGAAAGGTAAAATGGTGCAGCCACCGTGGAAAATAGTATGGTGGACCCTCAAAAAATTAAATAGAATGACCACACGATCCAGTACCTCCACTCCTAGGTATTTACCCAAAAGAAGTGAAAGCAGGTATTTGTTCACCCATGTTTACAGCAGCACTATTTGCAAGAGCCAAAAGGTGGAAGCAACCCAAGTAGCTATCAATGGATAAATGGATAAAATGTGGTCTATACATACAATGGAATATTACCCAGCCCTAAAATGGAAATTCTGACACATACTACAACACGCATGAACCCTGAGGACATTATACTAAGTGAAATAAGTCAGTCACAAAAAGACAAATACTGTATGATTCCACTATATGAGATACCTAGACTAATCAAATTCAGAGAGACAGAGAATGGTGGTTGCCAAGGGCTGGAGAGAGCTTAAAAATCTAAGTATAGATAAAATTCTAAATGATAAGAAAGCATGTTATCATAGTTTCCCCTATAAGCCACTCTCCTCACAGCAATCACAATAGTTCTTTAAAAACACAAATCACTCTCCCCTGCGTAAACCCTTCACTGGCTTCCTACTAAGAATGAAAACCAAGTCCTCACCCGTGCTCTACAGAGCCCAGGGCCACCGCTCCACTCTCATGGGGTCCCATGCCAAGCGGTAGTCACACCAGCCTTCTGACAGTTCCTCCAGAAACTTAACGCTTTATCTTATCTCTGGCCACTTGCAATTCCTTTAGCCTAGGAGCATTTTCTCTAATTCTTGGCGTAGCTGGTTCTTTCTCTTCCTTTTATTCTCAGCTTAAATGTCAGGAGGACTTCCCTGGCCACCATATCTGGCACAGCCCTCCCCGCCACACTCATTTGATATTACAGCCCTCTCTTCACATCCTTAAGCACTCTTCACAGTCTGTAAATATCTATTTCTTACTTGATGTCTTACTTACTCCCTTTTTCCCTAAAAGAATGGAAGTTCCATGAGAAAACCGTGTCTCTCTTGTTTACTGCTGCATTCCCAACACTGAGCACAATACCAGGCATGTAACAACTCGGCACATACAGAGCGATGGGAGAAATTATACATGGAGTCCAGGGAGGCACAGCATTGAAGCCACACGCAGAATGGTTAACTGAACATTCAAAGCCCAGACAGTGTTTCAAACTTCCGATACTGAGTCCTCTTCAGATATTCATTCATTCAACAAACATTCATCAAGTACCACAGTAAAGTACCACAGTAAACAAAACAGTCCCTGCTTTCACGGAACTCAGCTTCTAGTGGACGCCAAAAGGTCAATAGCCAAACGAACAAAAATGATGCCAGGTGGTTATGAGAACTGTGAGAAAAATAAAGTCAGGGAGAGACAGCAGGGCATGCTGGGGGCAAGGCACCGCAATTTTTACCTAAGGTGGATGGAAAAGCCTCTTGTAAAGGGGGCATCTGAAAACACCTGATGGAAGAGAGGAAGCAAGCCACATGGGGATCTGGGGAGGCTGGTGGGACTGTGCTTGGCATGTTCAACAAAACCAGTGTGGCTGGAGCAGAATGAGTTGGGGGGAAGCAGAAGATGAGCTCAGAGGCGAGAAGGTGCCTCGAGGGCCACTGTAAAAGCACTGGCTCTGGGAAGCCACCAGGGGGCTGTGATCAGAAAAGTGACATGATTTGACTTACAGTTCTAAGTTACTATTTTGGCTGCTATGGAGGACAAATTGTAGGGGAGAAAGGGAGCAGGCAGAGGGACTATTTGGGAGGCTGCTGCAATAATCTAGGGGCGGATGGACGATGACTTGCACTAGGGTGGGTAGCCATGAAGATCATGGTAAGTATATTGGTAAGTACATATGAGGTATATTCTGAAAGTAGAGCTCAAGCTTACAGGATGTGCTGATGGATGAGATGAAGAGTAAGACACAATCAGGGGAGGTAAAGACGTCACCGAAGTCTTGGGCTTAAGCAATTTATCAGATCAGTATACTGAGATGAAGAAGACAGTAAGAACGGAGGGGGAGAGAGATAAAAAATTCTTTTAGCTACATGATTATTAAACGTATTATACATGTATGATACATGATTATTAAACAGATGGAGCTCTCAAGTAGATATATGATCTGATACGCAGGACAGCGGGCAGATCAGCACGACAATTTGAGAGCTATCAGCTTCCAGATGGCATTTAAAGCCATGAGATGAAGTGAGACCACCTAGGTAGTGAGTGTAGACAGAGATTAAGCCAGTCTGAGGATGAAGCCTTACAAATACTAACAATCGAAGATGGCGAGATGAGGTGAAACCAATAAAGGAGACTGAGAAAGTGGTGTCAAGAG